GGCGGTTGATGAAGCCGTGTTGCCAAACCGATGGTCATCTAACAAGATGCGTGTCTACATGAAAAACAAGCCCCACAAGTGGGGCACTAAGTACTTTACGTTATGCAGTGCCGCTACGACTTACTGCATTCGGTATGCTTTGTTTGGGCAGTCAATTACTTTAATGCCGAATTATACATCATATACTGACTACTTCTATTATCGATATGATGCATATAGAGAGCTTTGAAGTGTATTGTGGCAAGAAACAGCATCTCAGCGATGCCCCCAAGCCGGATATGAAATTGGGGCCAGTAGTGCGCAACTTCTTGGAAGTGCTCGGATCTGACGCCGAAAAGGAAGGGATGAGGCTTGTGGTGATTGATCGCTTCTACACTTCGTTGACATTAGCCATACAGCTTCTTCTAACAGGCTCATATTGCGTTGGTACGATCATGACGAACCGGCTTGGGTACTGTAAGCTAGTGATCGAGAAAAAGAAGGCTCATCCAGCTACAATTCCGCGTGGATTGTTTAAAATCGCACGCTCAAAGCTTGTTCCGAGTACGAAGGCAATTAATTGATGGGATTCGAGGCCAGTGCATTTACTGTGCACCGGTGGCAACCCCGAAATTGACCGGGTGGTGCGGCAAGATGGAGCTGAGCAAGTTGAGATGCCCTGGCCTCGTGTGGTAAAGGATTTCTACGCATTCATGGGGTGTGTGGATGTCCACGATCAATTGCGGCGTGCACTCCGCTTCCAAAAGTAGTACAAGTCGTTGGTTGCTAAGTTTGATTGATATGGCTGTCGTCAATGGCTATATCATTCACAAAGCTTATCAGAAGAACAAATAGTCGCGTCCGCTCACACACGTCAAGTACATGACCCAGCTTCACCTCCAGTTTTCTCATCTCCAAGCAGCACAGATTTATATTAATCACACATTCATTACGCAGCTCCCTGCCTCTTTACCTTCAAAGCTCCCTGCTACCTCAAGACAGTCCGATTCGCATCGATGGTAAGAATAAAATAATCTTTCTCGCTTTAAGAGATA